GTTTTTAAACTTAGTTTATTGATTGATCGTCGATTCGATGGCTTTGGTTGTCGTCGGTTCTATATATATATATATATCATATCATGTCATCATTAACATTGACATTGTGTACCTGTTTGTTTGTGTCGAGTTGCTTTGTTGTTACAGGCAGCAGCGTAGCGACACTATTTACATCTTCAACTTCAACAAAGAGGCATGTGACTGACAGACTGATGGGACAGTGATTTAGTGATTATCCATTGACAACTCTGACAATAGTGACAACATGTTTGTGATAATACAAAGAACATTGCATCACAAGTTGTATTGACAGCAATCAATTGACATTTTGAAATGATTTGATCAATCGTTGCTGGAATTTGGCTCATGGATATGGACACATGCAACCTTCCAAGAAGGAGGAATTCGGTGTCAGTTGTCCTGTGCGCGCTGCCAGTGAATTTTCCATAGTTTGGTAGGTGCCAACTACCATGAAACGGACTATGAGCAGCAATGCTCTTCATTCTCAACAAGCACCTTCCAAAAGAAAGTTTGTGAGTGCACAGACGGTTAGCCCGATCAAGTTGAAGCGCATGGGGATTGGCTTGGATGACTCAGACAAGTCAGACAGTCGGATGAATATGAAATCATCAGGATCCAGTGTTGCTTCTGACTTGTTGAGCAGCGGTGGTGATGTTAGTGGTAGTGGATTGTTGGAAGGTGTCAGGCCAGCTGATGTTAGCCAAGCACAGTTGGAAAAGATCATCCAGAAAGCAACTTCTCCGAAAGAATTGTTCGGGAATGTGTCCAATGCCGAATTGATCGACCTGACGTTCTTGTGGTTTGGTTGCAGTTCAATTGATTTGCCATGGTTCGACGACGATGGCAAGCCAACCATTGTTGCATCGCCACACAACAGACCATTGCAGGACTGGAAATAAATTATGTGAACTGGATTTTTGATTCTGGACCATGATTTCTGGACAATGACAATGGACGATGAATTAATATATATAATGTGTATATTAATAAATATATTATTGTATTATTGTTTTATTATATATATATAATGATAGATTTTGATGAAAATGATTCAAGTTGATTCAAGTGTTCAATGTTTAGTGTTCAAAGTTAACAGTTCAGTTCCATCATTATGTTATGTTTATTATATTAACAAACTACAAACAACAAGTAACAACTTAACAACAACTAAAATAATATTATCTTTGTTGGCTTTGGACATTCTTCCTGACAACAAGTAGGACATACAATGACATGTGACACTGTGACAATTGCAGGAAACCACTGTCGAGACCTATGTCGAGCGAATGATTTCCCAAGGCTATCATCAGGATGTTGCTGGTTCCTTGTCAGAATGATGAAACCATAAATTTAATGTTGGTTGTGGTTGTGTTTTTGCTAGTTATTCTGATTAATATTCAAATTCAAATTAGTTTAGTTACATATCAATAAAACTTTCAACTAAACATACCATACATAAAGCACTGATTAAACTAACATTGAATCAACATTACCTGTGAACATTATTATTGTTATTATTTTTCAAGATATGTAAAGGGGTGATGCTGAATGATAACTACTTCAAAGGTGCTGCGTGGTTCCAATGGGCTGGTCCTGACCGCCAACTACCAGTTCTGGCCATTACTTTCAATCACAGACGTGAGGCATTCTATCGGGCATGGGAAAGAGATGAATCACGTTCAGGACCTTTGCAATCAACACAATCATCAGGACTACGTGATTGCCGCATGCTTGCTTCGCACACACCAGGTTACCTTGTGAAGGCATTGGTTCACATTCACAACATGAGTCATGCTGGGTCTGGCTGGAGTATGTGGGATGCACTAGACCATGCCTTGGAGCTGGAATGTGAATGGTCAGCCTATGCTTCTGAGAAAGGAATTTCAGCTGCACATGCGTGCTATCCTCAGTTGTTGTATTAACTTACAGTTGTGCAATTCATGAAATAGTGAACAGTGAACAGTGTTCAGGGTTGAATGTGATGAGTCATGAGTTATGAATTTTCTGTTGAGCTTTCCGAAAAGGTCTTTCAGTCTTTCAGCATTTCAATGTTCAACCTTTTAGGACTTTTAGGATCTTATGTCAAAAAAACAGTTACTCTATTCTTTCATTCTATATGAAGTTAAATATGTTAACTTTAAAAGTTGCATATGATATGATTGCATATGTTTTGATTTTTTGGCAAACAAAACGGTTTGTCGACCAAGGGCATCTTATGCCAAGATGTACGAGGAGTTTGTCATGGCACGCACTGACAAATTCGCGAGTTGGAAGCCATATGAACATGCAAAAGCGCTTGCTCATCGGCTGAAGGATTACTTCATCATGCAGCCATTCCGTCAGTGGTGCAATGAACACATGAACTATCTCGAGCAGAAAATGAACATTCCAAGTATTATTTTGACATGCCACACAGCCGCGAATGTGATCATCAACTCACTTAAGCGATGCTATTCAAAGGAGACAGTTGGCAGAGTGATATTTGAGACCTTGAAGCTTGCAGCCACTTGGAAGCAATAGGTGTTGGCGTTGTGTTCACAGTTTCACAAGAATGTTTGATTAGGGTTGGGTTGTTACTTTTATGTTGCATGTGCTCGTTGTAGTGTTGTATGTTGTTTTTCTTTTTTGTTTTGTATAGTTTTATATTTTGAGTTATTTATATTTGTATGACACTAAGACTAAGACTGACTAATACTAAGACTGATACTGATACTATTTGATTTTATTGATGATTATATTTGATAATCAATCATTTAGTCATTGGTCCCATTGGTTTTGTTATAGTAGTTGTGACTTGTGTATTTCTTAATGCAATGATTCCAAACAGGTTCCGTCCAAACCTCGTGGGAATCAACGGCCTTTGGAATGGTGCTTGCAGAAGTCAGCAGCAGAGAATTCAGTCGTGATGAACCTTGTGAATATTCCAATGGCTACATCTGCAGCATTTCGAAAAATTGCTGCAGCGAAAAGCAAGGCAAAGCCTACAAAACCAAGCGGAGACAAGGCTGACCATGGATTGGTTGAAAAGCTTTGTGCTGTTGCAAGCGCAAAAAATGGCCAACCTTTCGAAGTGAAGCCATCAGATGTCATTGCTGAAGAGTCCAATTTGTTTGAAGACACAGTCAAGTCTTTGGATTGTGAAGAATCTCGACCAAAAACGGTTCTGGATGATGTGCTCACATGTCTTGAAGCTGCTCACAACATCGTCATGCGCGTCTACGACTCGCAGGGGCTGTCAATCACCGACAACGCTGCTACTGCATCTTATCTGCAATATGAATGTACAAAGTTGCTGTTGTCGTAGCAATTGTCAATGGCCACTTGTAAACTGTCGATTGTCAATAATTGATTATGTTGCAATATGTAATGTACTTACCTCAGGCTACAAACTACAGTTTTGATGCTGCTACTACTACTACTACTGCTACTACTACTGCTACTACTACTACTACAACTACTAAGACTCAGACTAATTTACTGATATTAATGTGATTCAAATTGTTATTATTATTATTATCATGTTTTATTATTATTATTATTTTATTTTGTTTCGTCATATTAACGTATTATTGTTAGTTTGATTGATGCTAGTTAATTTTACTAGTTATGAATATCAATGTTATTATTACTAATTATATCATTGTTATTATTCCTTATGTTTGTATACCTCTATAGTATGTTATTTCATTATTTGTGTCGAACTTTTTGATATATATTCCAATACAATCCAATCCACATCAATCAAATAAATTTACTATTAGTAGTATTATAGTTTATCTATCCTTTAAATCTAAGTCTAAGTCCTATATGTACCGTATGTACCTATTGATTACTACATAAACCGACGAAATTGACGAAACTGACTTAGTTTTTCTATCATATCACATGCTTTGATGACATCATAAACGTTTCGTAATATATATATACATATACATACATTTATTTAAGATATTCACTTTGTACATTTGTGCATATACAACGCATATATTCAAAACAAAAAATCACATAAATTATATGATATGGATTATGATTTCATTTGTATGTATATGTATGATTTATGTGATATTTTTTTTTATCTCAATCTTATTGATTATCTTAAATCAACATATTGTTATTCATTCATACTTAAGTTATACTAAGATATACTTATACATAAACTTTTCATATTCTATTGTAATGTATCACATTGTATCAATTGTACCATGGCTTTGCTTAGTTACTGTTGTTGAGCTGTTGACTATTCAAAAAATAAAAATAAAATCATAATTAACACTTTAGTGTTCTGTATGTACAATGTATGTATGCATTTATCTATGTATTACTGCATTACGTAGATTAATTGTGTTTTTTTTGATATATATATATTAAATTACACAACAAATGTGTATTTGTTGATTTATCGGTTTTTCTTGAGGCTATGTCAAAGACGATGGACTATGCCATTAGCATCTTCTTGCAGTTCATCATCGACACTGATTCAAAGAGCATTTCCATTTCGGGAAAAAACTTCAGAATCTACAGTGCATTGCGACCTGAAATGATGGCATTTTTCATCAGTACACATTTGCAGGTTGTGGATGCCTCAGTGAACCCTTCAGCATCACGATCTCCGATTGACCCAGTGGTAATGGCAGACAATTTGTGCAAGAGGTTGGTTACTGCTCCCGTGAAGGAAATCATTCATGATGAAGAAGATGCATCAATTATTCGTATCTGGTCACTTATTTAGTCTTTGCAGTGCAGCTTATAGATTAGGCAATATTATACATAATCATAATCATAGTTCTTAGTTCTTAGTATGTTTTTAATCTTAGTTCTCTGTGATCCTTCAAGTTACAAGTTTCCATGCAATTCCATGCATGTACAAAATATGTGATGTGTTTTTTTATGTTTTTTTTTAATGTTGTGCTTACTTGATGGTGATGTTTCGCAACAGTGCTTGTAAGTAGCTGGTATACTATTCAGGTATCGCTACGTTCATGCTTGACCAAGATGGTGAGGGCAATTCTTCCAGTCGATCAGAGCTCATCGAGTTTATCAACCAAGAATTGAGCATGCCATTTCAGGTGCATTCAATTCACCGTCAGCTATTTCAAGCAGCGAAGAAACACGTGACCAATGAGATTTCCTTGTGTGACTTGCTGGATATGTTCAACCAAGTGTTGAGTAAGTGCGTGTACCCAAAATGGATTGGCTTTGCTGCTGATTGTGCTGAGATGTATGTTGCTCGCGGAGGACATTTCGTTGAAAAATCTGAGCAGGTGGGGAAACATTGGTGTCAAAAGTTTCAGAAATAATTACGTTCATTAGTTTCATATCCATTTTGTTTATGTGTTGTTTGTGTAGTTTATGTTTTATGTGTATGTGTGCTTTAAGTTATGTTGCAACGTTGTTGATAATTGAAACTAATGTCAAGTTATCAGGTTACCAAGTTATCAGGTTGAGTCAAAATGTTCTGCTCTTGTAATTATGATGAAATCTTATATTAAATAATATCAATTGATGAGTTATGTGTTATGTATGCGTATTGTATGTTTTTCTTCAATTACAATTACATAATATATTACAATCATTATCATATAGAAACATATGATAATATGACTATGATGATTATAATAAATATATATTGTGGTATACAGTCTATGGTATAGTAACTCGGTATTATATATGTATGTGATATTTAATATAAGATATAATATAAGATAAAAGAAACAAATTTAGATTCAATTCACTTGTTGCCTGCTGACATCAACCCTTACAGGTGTGGGGCTCTGTGGATACTTTGCAACAGTTCATGAGCTTACGTTTGAAGTACTTGCAAAGCTTCTTGCACAATGAGCTCAAAGGTAACGGCTCAAACAAGCTCAGCATGACGCCCATTGTGAAAGCACACTTGACTTTTTTCACTACGGAGGATAATCCAACGATGATTCATCAGCTATCTGCCTTGGATTTGGTCATTCCATGTGACTCGTGGGCAGAGGTGTGGAGTGAATCGTTATGCAGTTCCAGCAGCTCAAAAGAACTCGTTGAAGCATTGGCCAAATCCTTGAAGATTGACATCAATCAGTTCGTCAAGAAGATGAACATTGGTATGAAAGCTGATTATGGCCCAGATGACAAAGACAAGAACATGGGAAAAGAAAAGGTGAACAAAGATGATGTCGATATGACAGAAACAACACATGTTGATGATGCCGAGGCCAGATTTTTATTATTTAATTATTATTTTTTTTTTAAAATATATATATGAACACAATATATTCAATGTGGTGTATTATACAACTTACAACTATCGTATTGTTAGTTTCTAGTTGCTGTTACTAGTTAGATATTATGTTTTTTTGAATTTTGTATGATTCGTTGTTTTTGATGTGTTTCATCTGGTGATTCACTGGTTTCAATCAGGCAGCACAGAAAACCGATGGCAATGCACATGCGGATGATGCAAATGCCAAAGCTGACCAAGATCCTGATGATTTCGAACACAGTCTTGGAGGTCAGTTTCCTTTGAAAGAAACATTCTTCTACAAAGAACCGAAATCAGAGCTGATGCAAGACAGTAGTGATGCCAAGCAGTTGGGTTTGACAAGTTTGTCAACTGTGGACATCATGAGGTTGAAGTCACAGCTTGAGACCATCATGTGGTCAGCATTTGGAGAATGCATGGAAAAGTCTAAGGCTGGTGATTGGCTAATTGTCAATGCTGCAGATACTTGTTTTTGCTTGTTTATGTTATCTTTTGGAGTTGTTTCATTGCGTTTGTATTCTAATTACAATTCACTTACTTCACAAATTAACAATAATATGTGAAAGCCAATCCGGTAACCCAGAATCATAAACAAGAGTTTATTTTGATTGTAATGATGTGATGATGTGTGTGTGTGAATTAATTTGAATGATAAGACAACTGACAACAAAATCTAAGGACAAAAAGAAATCGGAATTCCTGAAAGCTGATGTGAAGAAACTCAAAGCTCACATGGACAAGGACGAGGTTTCAATTATGCCATTCATCGGGAACATCAGTTTGATGAAGATCAAAGATGCGTTCAAAATTGCGACCATGTTCGGTGTAGACTTTTTCATGACCAAATCTGGACATGATCTTGGCTCGGATATCATTTGTCCAGCATGGGCATGTTCTTCAGTGAGTCGTGCTGATCAAAGTTTCTTCGAACTCAAGAAGGACAAACTACATGTATGGCTTTCTGTTCCCAAGAAGCCAACTGGTCATGATGATGATGGATCGAAGGCAGCTGAGGACAAGCGCAAGAATATGATCAACATGGTAAATCTATCCACTACTGAGCCACTAGACGAGACACACAATAGCCTTCAGGTTCAGATTGAATCTGGGTTGAGTTGATTTTCAATTAGGATTGTTTTCTTTTTGAGATTTGACATGTTGATGTTCATGTTCGTTCATTTTTATGTTTAGTATGTTTTATTTTATTGGTCTAGTGAAAGTTGAAGTGTAACATAACAAACAATAATGATCATTGGGATGTATACATACTACTGCTGTTACTATACTAATACACTGGCAGAACTGACATATAACAAGATTGAATGAATCAATCAGCAGCATTATATTATAATATCACAATTACAAACATTGCCATTTGTGTTGTGTCGGTTTTGTGGGGTGAGCTGACCATAGCTGAACAACGGATTATGAATTATGAACTTATGAAGTATGTAACTATGGACTATGGACATAAACTCACTGAATTTATTGTAAAATACGAGATTCTAAATCTTATTGAAAGACTTCATGACTTCATGACTGATTTCTCTCGTCCTGATCTTTCTTAGTTCTTCATTTCTTGAATTCCTTGTTTGTATTTATATGTGCAACTATGTGTTTTTAGTTATTAGTTTTAGTTTTAGTTACTATTTTTTGTATGTTCATATTCTCCGTCCCGTTGTATGTTGGTGTATGTGTGTGTGTGTGTTATTTTTGTTTACATGATGGTCATGATGAATCTTGATGATAGTAACAGTAACTAATAACTATAATCATGCTCGAATATTGATAATTGATGATTGATGACTGATGATTGAAAAAAATAATCAATTGATGATTGATATCATAATTGATGATTTGATGATTTGATGATGATGATGATGGAAATATGGATGAACGGATGTATAGATGAATTAACACACACACATGGTCACATGGATGAATAGATTTCTAGATGGATGGATGGATGAATGTATGTACGGATGGATGGATGAATAGATAGATGAATGGATGGATGGATGAATGTATGTACGGATGGATGGATGAATAGATAGATGAATGGATGGATGGATGGATGGGTGGATGGACGGATGTATGGATAGAGGAATGGATGGATGGATGGATGGATGGATGGAAGGTGATGATGGTGATAGCATTTATTGTTTGGTTTTATGTTTTATGATGATGAACGATGAATTATGAATAATGATATATAATATATATAATTATAATGTTAGTTGATAATTGATATTACATTACATATTACGGTAACAAGAACGACACTATTGATTTATGCAGACCGTAAGAACATAGCTTATGTGTTCTGCTTATACTGGCATAGTCACAGGCACATATTTTATATTATTATTACTTCAGACAGTTCAGACAATAAAACAAAACAACTAACATGTCAACATGTTGCTTTGTCACATATTAGAATATTAATCATACAATGAATCATGTATGTGCTACGTTGCTATAAGATCTGAGGAATGGCATGGCATCATTCCAGATCCAAACTTGGAAAGCAAACTCGACAAGCTCAAGGAGTCTTTCAAGAAATCATCGGCCAACAAAATCAACCGATTGGAGAAAAAGAAAGGTACACTTATCAAGAAGATTGAATCGCAAAAAAAGAAAGGTGATGATGCAAGTGCTTCAGAGAAGGCATTGGCCAAGTTGAATGCAGAGATCATTGAGGAGAACGGTGGTGGCTCTTTCGAATTTGAGTCATTCATTCCTGTGGCACGTATGCAGACTGAAAGTGAGTTTGAAGGGAAATCATGCCGTCAAAAGTCATTGAGTGAAGCTTTGGCAGCTGCATCCAAAGAAAAGGATGAGTCGGGCGGTGGTGATACCAAAATCAATTTCGGAATGCAAGGAATGGTGAAACAGTTGCGCGATGAAGGTGTGATGGCGACCAAGATCAAAAAAAGGGCAAATGACAAATCTATTCAAGATGTGCTGAAGTTAGGAAGTCATTTGTTGAAATAAGATTGCAACATAGACATGCTCACAGGAATGGATCGTATGAGATCCTGAGGTCAATACAAAAAAGATTTTGACCTAGACGATCGGAAGAGTAGTACTGCTCATGATTTTGAATTTTGTCGCAATGCATTTTCTTTGATGCACGAAAAAGTTGTAGCTATAGCTGTAGCTGCCTAGCAGTATGTGTCATGTCAGACATGCCAGGCAGACAATTTTTCAAATTCATCATCAGCATCATCAGCATTAACTATTTACTATTTTGATTCAAAAATCTGGTTTCAGAACATATGTTTTCAATTTGAGTTCATTGTGCATACAAACATAAACATACAGCTTAGCTTAATCTATATATATGCGTGTTATTATATGGATTGTGTATCTATAGCAAACAATTCAATATTTTTTAGTCAGTACTAATATCATGACTTTATGTTGATGTTGATGTTGATTGTCTGAGTCTGACATACAGCTGGCTACCGGTATTTGTACCATAGTGCGAGTGTTGATTTTGTTCCACTCGACTGTCAATTGAATATAAGACAGGATTGCATTGTAGGATTGCATGAGCACAGCACAGAGACTACCACCATCGTCACAATCCAGAGACTCCAGAGATCAAAAGCCGATGATGTTGGCGGTGGACAAAAAAAACAAAGGACGTTATTGCTGAGGGCTGACGGCCGAGGATTGAGGATAGATTGATACTTAGGTAATTGTTCAGAGTTCAGAGTTATTTTTTTTAATGTTACGCATGTCAATTACATCACAACATTGCATTGCATGATTCATGATAACCTTGTGCATTGACTTAAATGCAAAATATTTGTCATACTGCCATACTGCTACTGTGCGCTGATCGGTCTTGCTCAGACAAACACATTGACAAACTGAGACTGACACTGACACTTGACTGACATTGTTTTTTGTTTTGTGGTACACATTATCATTTGATCCACTGGCAGGTTGGATGGAAAGATGCACGACGATGTGCAGCTGCCTACTGCGCATAATTCAACACATCACTTTGCAATGAGGAAAAAATGCTATTGGCGCTGACTATGATGTGATCACTGATCACTGTGATAACGGAAATAACACATTTACTTTTTGATGATCAATGATCATTTGCAGTGATTGGTAGGGATTGGGATTGGTGGTGTGGTGAGTGTGTCTTTGGCAGTCTTTGGTCTTTGGTGATGATTGGCAGTGGTGATTGGTGTTGATTGGGGGTAGTCGGCACGGGAATATTATTATTTATTTATTTATTTATTGACTTACAACTTTACAACTATTACAATCAAAACATCATGAATCATTATCACTATCACTATCACTATGACTATATATTATAAATTGGGGGCACTGCATGACTTTGGTTAGCCAGCCATATCAATCTACGTGAATCTACGTGTATTATCAGTGTTTTTCCGTGCCATTGCCAACTGTGTAGGATTTAGACTTAGATTTGTTGTGGAAACATCTGGTGATGTATAGTTGTGGGACGCTGGACACTGGGGACACTGGGACTGAGGATATATGGATATACATACTGAATACAAATATACTTTATTGTCATTGTCTACATGATTCTACATGATTGGTTGTTTGGGAGCTTGGTGGTAAACTTGTGAATGTATATGTAGTATAGTAGTATATGTAATGTAGCGTTGTTATTCTACATGACAAGTTGATTGAAATTATACTAGTAAGCGTTTCGAGTCCGTTCATTTTGCCAAATGACAATTCATTTCTAGTCTTCAGAAATCAAACCCGTTAAGTTCCTGAAGAAACCATAGTTTTTATATATACAAGTGGCTTCAAGTTACAGCTAAACTTGATGGTCTGAACTAGAAATTCAATTTTGTCCAATTTTGATCTCTAATTTTGACTGCTGCTGCTGCTGCCTATAATAAAGCAAGAAACCAGCAGCCAGACACCTTTTTTAAAACACAGCCGAAACAGTAAAACACCACCTAATTTCGTTCCGAACATGACGCAAAATCAATCACAATAATAGGTTTTCGGGGGCCGAAACGTCCCTTCTGAAATCCTACTAGAAATTCAATTTTGTCCAATTTTGATCTCTAATTTTGACTGCTGCTGCTGCCTATACTAAAGCAAGAAACCAGCAGCCAGACACCTTTTTTAAAACACAGCCGAAACAGCAAAACACCACCTAATTTCGTGCCGAACATGACGCAAAATCAATCACAATAATAGCTTTTCGGGGGCCGAAACGTCCCTTCTAAAATCCTACTAGAAATCCAATTTTGTCCAATTTTGATTTCATCCAATCGTCGTAGTAGTAGTAGTAGTAGTAGTAGTAGTAGTAGTAGTAGTAGTAGTAGTAGTAGGTAGTAGTTAGTAGTTAGTAGTTAGTAGTTAGTAGTTAGTAGTTAGTAGTTAGTAGTAAGTAGTAAGTAGTAAGTAGTAAGTAGCAAGTAGCAAGTAGCAAGTAGCAAGTAGCAAGTAGCAAGTAGCAAGTAGCAAGTAGCAAGTAGCAAGTAGCAAGTAGGAAGTAGCAAGTAGCAAGTAGCAAGTAGCAAGTAGCAAGTAGCAAGTAGCAAGTAGCAAGTAGCAAGTAGCAAGTAGCAAGTAGCAAGTAGCAAGTAGCAAGTAGCAAGTAGTAAGTAGCAAGTAGTAAGTAGTAAGTAGTAAGTAGTAAGTAGTAAGTAGTAAGTAGTAAGTAGTAAGTAGCAGGTAGCAGGTAGCAGGTAGCAGGTAGCAGGTAGCAGGTAGCAGGTAGCAGGTAGCAGGTAGCAGGTAGCAGGTAGCAGGTAGCAGGTAGCAGGTAGCAGGTAGCAGGTAGCAGGTAGCAGGTAGCAGGTAGCAGGTAGCAGGTAGCAGGTAGCAGGTAGTAGGTAGTAGGTAGTAGGTAGTAGGTAGTAGGTAGTAGGTAGTAGGTAGTAGGTAGCAGGTAGCAGGTAGCAGGTAGCAGGTAGTAGGTAGTAGGTAGTAGGTAGTAGGTAGTAGGTAGCAGGTAGCAGGTAGCAGGTAGCAGGTAGCAGGTAGCAGGTAGCAGGTAGCAGGTAGCAGGTAGCAGGTAGCAGGTAGCAGGTAGCAGGTAGCAGGTAGCAGGTAGCAGGTAGCAGGTAGCAGGTGGTAGCAGGTAGCAGGTAGCAGGTAGCAGGTAGCAGGTAGCAGGTAGCAGGTAGCAGGTAGCAGGTAGCAGGTAGCAGGTAGCAGGTAGCAGGTAGCAGGTAGCAGGTAGCAGGTAGCAGGTAGCAGGTAGCAGGTAGCAGGTAGCAGGTAGCAGGTAGCAGGTAGCAGGTAGCAGGTAGCAGGTAGTAGGTAGTAGGTAGTAGGTAGTAGGTAGTAGGTAGTAGGTAGTAGGTAGTAGGTAGTAGGTAGTAGGTAGTAGGTAGGTAGTTAGTAGGTAGTAGGTAGTAGGTAGTAGGTAGTAGTTAGTAGTTAGTAGTTAGTAGTTAGTAGTTAGTAGTTAGTAGTTAGTAGTAGTAGTAGTAGTAGTAGTAGTAGTAGGAGTCGTAGTAGTGCAATACATCCTTTTCCCTTACGCGCTCCCCCTTGCGTCGGCCGGGGTCGGCGGATATGTTTATAATTGTTTTGTAGCAGAATACTGCAACATCCTTTGGGAACATCTCTGGGAGGGTCACACTTTCGTGGGAAGGAAGTGCAGGCAGCTGACTTCGTTCTGTGTGTCCAACATCTTTCTTTGGCCAAAGGGAATCACTAGGGCCATGCTTTCAAAATTAGTGCGACGAAGTTTGTCAATTCACAGCTGCTTGATCTTCAAACAAGGCGTCGCATGAATTGATGGGGAAAATGGGATGGTCCTGACAGGATGTGGCGCAGCTCATTAAGGAGCCAGGGCGAGGCTTTCTGGACAGTTAACCCAGGAAGAGACAGGTGATGGAGTGAAGGTTGGAATGGTTGCTTAAAGATTTGTCAAGCTATGGTACAGCAGTTCCTTGGAAACCTTTGGAAGCCTTTGGAAACGTTTGGAACCTTCGGAAACATTTGGAAACCTTTGGACATTTTTTGGAAACCGTTGGAAACCTTTGGAAACATTTGGAAACCTTTGGAAAGGAAACCTTTGGACACCTTGATTTCTCGAGATTTCTTGATATTCCCCGCTGGTGAGAAGTCCTGCTTGTTCGGTCAAGCGTTGATCCGTAGGACTTGAAAAATGCCAACCCTTCGGCCCGAATCTCCGTGAAACTCGTGGCCCGAATTGGCATTGGCGTCATTGCATCAGGTGGGGCGAGGGTTCGGACCAGTCACAGGAATCTGGGATATCTGATTTTTAATTCTTCCGATTATGGATAATGATGATGGATAATGGAGGCTGACTGAGGGACAAACAACTGATGTTCTGAGACTCTGGGTTGTAATAAGATCACTGACGCAGCCATTGTTTGTTCGAAGTTGTAGGAAAGTAGAAATGCGTCGGTGAGGAAATCAGGTTGTACGGGCATGGCTTGTGCAAGAGCTTCTTGAATACAACATGGAAGTCTTGGAAGATCAAAACCAGAGTGACTGACTGTTCTGACTATGACTCAAAATCATCGACTGCTCAAATTAGATCTTTCATGACGCAAAAACATCGAAATTGTGGGTCTCTTGGTGCCCTATTTGATCGATAGCTGCATTCTGGGTGCCCTGTTGATTCCAGTGCCCCAGGTGTTGTGAAGGGTAAGGCTGACCACCTGACCATCAGTGGAATGTCGGGTGGAACTGGTGCTGCCAAGTGGGGCTCCATCAAGCACTGTGGCAACTCGGCAGCGGGAAGCAGTGGGAAGCAGTGGCAAGCAGTGGGAAGCTGTGACCAATCCATGGGGACAATCATGGTCACTGCGACGGAAGATCTTTCGACACCTTAGTAGATCTTCGTAGAATGTTGGCTCATTGAACCAAGTCTGACCAGTCTCATTCCCTAGAATCATACTGCCAGATATTGCCAGCATCCTCACGTGCAAAGCTACTTAGGCCTTCCCTGGGAGATTGGCCTTGCCGAGACCCATCAGACCCTGGTGCTGAACGGTTTGAGGCGAGCTGTGTTTCCTTGGTGGATCGTTCCCTTCCTCGAGATCCGTTGGAAGTTTGGTGGAGAGTTTCGTGTGGGGAAGGTTGCTATTCTATGCGATTCCAGTATCATCACAAGGTGTAAGTAGCTCAAGGAACTCCGATGGGAAAGAGGGACTCAGAGACACTGCACGATCGGCTCATGTTGGGTCCTTCTCAAACTGCATCGAAGTTTCCATAATTTATCTTCTGATCTCATTGGACCCCATTCCAGCCGCAGGAACCGTGTGACCCTTCAGACCGATGGCCAAGTGCGAACGGGTCGTGATGTTGTGATTGCCGCCATGCTGGGGGCGGAGGCTGGGAATCGGGGTCCATCCAAATCCCAAGTAATCTTCGGAGGGTCAAAGCATCTCAAATTCACCTTCATCCAGCAAGAGGACCTAACATTTGTAACATGGTCAGCTATCAAAGACCTTGGATGACCTTGGTATCATCTTTGATCACCTTGCCTCTGACAATTCTGAAGCAGTCCCAGCGAGGAGATTGCAATGACAACGGCTCCACTGATCACCTTGGGATGCATCATGATGAGAAGCTTGGAATATCTTGGAAGAAAATCTACTTTGACTGCAACAGTGCAACTGAATTGAAGTTCTTAGAAGTTCTTTGCCGCTTTTCCCTCCCTGCCCAGGAAAGTGCCACTTGAACACATGCCCTGTGGGTGTTGCGACCCAGGACCAGAGGGGAGAGTTGGATCCAGCTTTTCCTGGAACCCTTGTTTTCTTGTTTGCTTTTGTGCAGTATCTAGGACCAAGGATATTTGTATGTGTTTGTTGATTCAATTTTCTGCTATGGAAAAGGCGCATCTGAAAAGAACAGAGGATATGGGCACAGGCAGTTTGAACATATATATTCAATATATTTCAATATTTGAACAAGAATATGAGCCTGTCACCGCGTGGCTAGTGCCGGGAAGCAGGATCCAGAGCTCCGACAGAAATTCACGGGTCAACCAGAGCACCTGATCAACTTCCTCTTCATGGTGGCTGAGGACTTTTTTCCCCCGTTTTTTCTCTTGTTGCTGTTGCTGGCTGTTGCTGTTGGATTACTACATCCTTTAATGGTTGGGCAGGAAGCACGTGAGATCATGGCATCTCTGGGTATCAAGAAGTTCACTGAACTCATCGGCCGCACAGACTTGTTGAGGCCCGGCATGGGGAGATTTATAAATTCTATCCAGCATGGTTTGGATATGTTTGGATAGAATTTTCAAATCTGACAGCCATCCTAGAATCCATTGAGCGTAGAACATAGATGATGGATGATCTCATGGATTTGATTCTTACCATCCATTGTCAATCTCCACAGTTCACAGCGCAAAACAGTCTAGTTGGCAGAGGTGATGTCTGGTGTCGGGTGTCCGGTGGTGTCTGGGACTTGGCATTTTCGCATTTTCCAGAGTGGAGCCGCTGCCATGGCCTGGTGCGGCTCATGCCTTGAGCCCTTCGGGGCCGTGACTTTTGCAAACTTCACGGGTGTCTCAACGGTGCAAAAAAAGCACGTTCTTTTCTTTTGGCTCCATAACGATAGAGTTGCAAGGTTAGATGAAAGTGCAAAAACATACTTGATGTCTCCTTGGCTGACAAGGAGATGGTGACAGTTACGGAGAAGCACAAACAATTTATACAGGGGGTGATGTTTTGTCTTTCTTGGTTTGTGGACATGATAGCGACATCTTCAAGCTTGGGTTCGCTCCGCTTTGCAATGGTTGCTGGATGTGTTTGCTGGTATATACTTGCATAGGTTAAGATTCAACCCTGAGACTGGAGGGATTGGGAGGGAAGGCCACCGTTTGTGTAGAGCTGGTCGGGTGGTCGGGTAGAGTCCTTGAGGCAAACGTGCAATGTATATGAGTGTATGACAGCAAGGCAAATGATAGCACTTGTAGCACTTGTAGAGAATGAAGCTGCTTCATGCACTCTTTTGCAAGTGAGTCGCTAGAAGATAGGTGCAAATGCTGCACTCGTCATGGGGAAGCCATTGTTTAATGGGCTAGCAAGTCCAAAGACTTGTAATCCTGCAGGAAAGTTGAAGAAGGGAATCCTCTGCGAGTGCCTATGTGCAACATGCTGCAGAATAGGGCAGAGAAAGCAATTGCCTGCAGACTGAGACTCTTCGACTTTTCTGTTTGCTTTGAGTTTGCTTACGCTCGTTGCTGCTTTGGCAAGCTTGATTCATGACATTCATGCGTGTTGTTTGTCCTTGCAACTCTGCGTTCGCACCATGTTTGAAGGCTTTTTGTCAATGCTGGCTCGTGAGGACAGAGTTCCAAGTAGATGTGATGATGAGATGGTTTGCGCCAACCCTGCGACTTAAGGCATGAGGCACCCAAGCAAAGCCTAGAGTCTGTGTACTGTTGGCCGGGTACTGGCGCTTGGGTTGTTTCGTGTCCTTGGGGCCAACGCACTGCTGTGAAGCTTCACAGCAGTGTATGACAGCAAGGCCAATGGGCTAATGCGCTTGCTGGGGACGAGGGGACGAAGGCATAGCACTCTGGGTCGTATGACTCGGACCTATGCTTGGAGCACCCAAAATAGGGGAGGCCGAAGTACTCGCATCGTTGCTGCTCCTAAAAGTGTATTTGAATGGATTCATAAACATTTGCTGACTGTGGAGAGTGCAAGCTATCGATAGCAACGTCTTCAAGCTTGGGTCAGCTCCATTTGGCCATGGTTGCTGGATGCTGCTGGCATATACTTGCATAGATTAAGATTCAACCCTGAGACTTGAGGGATCGGAGGGAAGGCCACGGTCTGTGTACAGCGGAAGTGAGTCGCTAGAAGATAGGTGCAAATGCTGCACTCGTTATGGGGAAGCCATTGTTTAATGGGCTAGCAAGTCCAAAGACTTGTAATCCTGCAGGAAAGTTGAAGAAGGGAATCCTCTGCGAGTGCCTATGTACAACATGCTGCAGAATAGGGCAGAGAAAGCAATTGCCTGCAGACTGAGACTCTTCGACTTTTCTGTTTGCTTTGAGTTTGCTTACGCTTGTTGCTGCTTTGGCAAGCTTGATTCATGACATTCATGCGTGTTGTTTGTCCTTGCAACTCTGCGTTCGCACCATGTTTGAAGGCTTTTTGTCAATGCTGGCTCGTGAGAACAGAGTTCCAAGTAGATGTGATGATGAGATGGTTTGCGCCAACCCTGCGACTTAAGGCATGAGGCACCCAAGCAAAGCCTAGAGTCTGTGTACTGTTGGCCGGGTACTGGCGCTTGGGTTGTTTCGTGTCCTTGGGGCCAACGCACTGCTGTGAAGCTTCACAGCAGTGTATGACAGCAAGGCCAATGGGCTAATGCGCTTGCTGGGGACGAGGGGACGAAGGCATAGCACTCTGGGTCGTATGACTCGGACCTATGCTTGGAGCACCCAAAATAGGGGAGGCCGAAGTACTCGCATCGTTGCTGCTCCTAAAAGTGTATTTGAATGGATTCATAAACATTTGCTGACTGTGGAGAGTGCAAGCTATCGATAGCAACGTCTTCAAGCTTGGGTCAGCTCCATTTGGCCATGGTTGCTGGATGTTGCTGGCATATACTTGCATAGATTAAGATTCAACCCTGAGACTTGAGGGATCGGAGGGAAGGCCACGGTCTGTGTACAGCGGAAGTGAGTCGCTAGAAGATAGGTGCAAATGCTGCACTCGTTATGGGGAAGCCATTGTTTAATGGGCTAGCAAGTCCAAAGACTTGTAATCCTGCAGGAAAGTTGAAGAAGGGAATCCTCTGCGAGTGCCTATGTACAACATGCTGCAGAATAGGGCAGAGAAAGCAATTGCCTGCAGACTGAGACTCTTCGACTTTTCTGTTTGCTTTGAGTTTGCTTACGCTTGTTGCTGCTTTGGCAAGCTTGATTCATGACATTCATGCGTGTTGTTTGTCCTTGCAACTCTGCGTTCGCACCATGTTTGAAGGCTTTTTGTCAATGCTGGCTCGTGAGAACAGAGTTCCAAGTAGATGTGATGATGAGATGGTTTGCGCCAACCCTGCGACTTAAGGCATGAGGCACCCAAGCAAAGCCTAGAGTCTGTGTACTGTTGGCCGGGTACTGGCGCTTGGGTTGTTTCGTGTCCTTGGGGCCAACGCACTGCTGTGAAGCTTCACAGCAGTGTATGACAGCAAGGCCAATGGGCTAACGCGCTTGCTGGGGACGAGGGGACGAAGGCATAGCACTCTGGGTCGTATGACTCGGACCTATGCTTGGAGCACCCAAAATAGGGGAGGCCGAAGTACTCGCATCGTTGCTGCTCCTAAAAGTGTATTTGAATGGATTCATAAACATTTGCTGACTGTGGAGAGTGCAAGCTATCGATAGCAACGTCTTCAAGCTTGGGTCAGCTCCATTTGGCCATGGTTGCTGGATGTTGCTGGCATATACTTGCATAGATTAAGATTCAACCCTGAGACTTGAGGGATCGGAGGGATGGCCACGGTCTGTGTACAGCGGAAGTGAGTCGCTAGAAGATAGGTGCAAATGCTGCACTCGTCATGGGGAAGCCATTGTTTAATGGGCTAGCAAGTCCAAAGACTTGTAATCCTGCAGGAAAGTTGAAGAAGGGAATCCTCTGCGAGTGCCTATGTACAACATGCTGCAGAATAGGGCAGAGAAAGCAATTGCCTGCAGACTGAGACTCTTCGACTTTTCTGTTTGCTTTGAGTTTGCTTACGCTTGTTGCTGCTTTGGCAAGCTTGATTCATGACATTCATGCGTGTTGTCTGTCCTTGCAACTCTGCGTTCGCACCATGTTTGAAGGCTTTTTGTCAATGCTGGCTCGTGAGAACAGAGTTCCAAGTAGATGTGATGATGAGATGGTTTGCGCCAACCCTGCGACTTAAGGCATGAGGCACCCAAGCAAAGCCTAGAGTCTGTGTACTGTTGGCCGGGTACTGGCGCTTGGGTTGTTTCGTGTCCTTGGGGCCAACGCACTGCTGTGAAGCTTCACATGGGCTAACGCGCTTGCTGGGGACAAGGGCATGGCACTCTGGGTTGTATGGTTCGGGAAGCTGAAGTATTGGCATGATCTCGCATGCACAAAGGAGTACAGCAGCCTTGCTGTTCTTGAAAGTAGACAACATTCAGCATGGGAGCCATGAGGCCCAAGGGCTATTTGAAGGACAATCCCAAGACTGCGGACTTGGTGCCTCAATTTGCATTAAGCGACATGATCTCTTGGTATTGTCATAGAGTCGATGGAATAATCCTTTTTTTGACTCTTTGCCAGTTTGTTTTGGAACCTCTGGTTCAACATTGAGAGAAACTGCCTGTTTGAAGCCTGTTGAACTGGGTTTCTCTTATTCTCTCCTGTCAGACATGCAAATTAACCCGATCTCTGCATGCTGGTGCCCGAAAGTGGGCGTTGCGTGTTCGCTTGCTCTATATTTGTGGCTGTGCTCCAAATCGAGGACTTTGCAGATCTGCTGAAACCTGCTTGGACCATGGAGTCCATGATGGGAAACATGGCTGCACCTGGTTGGACCTGAGCTGTTATTGCATGTTATTGCATGTTATTGGCAACATTGACCTAGTGACTACTAGAGACTGCTGTGTAAGCCAGGAGAGTAGGAGTTGCTCTTGCAATATGGTTTTCTGATGTTTTCTGGACAGCAGCCGCTCCTTAAAGTTTACACTTCAACAAACACGTAGCAGGGAAGGAAACTCTTGCCTACAATACACCTCTCAAAGAACGAGTTCAGATATGGGCATATGGGTTTGTCTGAAAATAGGGTACTCCATTCCACTGCATAATCATTATTTTCCAGTTATTTTCCTTCGCAAGTCAAAAAATTGGCCAGATTGTACTAGCTTTTCTATTGCGCCGAGCGCGACTCAGCGTCGCCTCAGCGTCGACTCTGCAGGCAATTCGGCAGACAATCCCATGTACTGTTGCGAGCCTCAGGAGCTGCCAGTTCGAAGCTGCAAATGGATTCCTGGGTCTTGCCAAAAGCATCATAAATATGCCATGTGAATTCATGTGAGCTGAGGATGTCAAAGCATGATATATCACGAGATTTCCACTGATTCTCCTGCAACTCAGGATATTCACCATGCAGATATGTCAGAGATGTCAGGTGTGTTGGGCAATGATAGGTACTGATAGGTACATATCACCCTGGCACCATGGTATCGCCATGGTATGAACGAGGACCATGAGTTGGCCCATGCCTTGGACCAGAGCTTGGTGAGTCGCTGCTCCAGCGTCCTCACTGACTCCTCCAACAGCAAGGCTGCCCTTGACATGAAATTCATATTGAACATATGTGAAAACTATTGAAACATCAACAACACATTAATGAAACATCAATGACACATCAATTTATCAATCTGAATAGTGAAGCACGATGAATCGAATACGAAACATACATATTTGAATCATATCGACATAAGTTTGCGTATCCGTATATATATATATATGACAATATATATGTATATGTATATGTATATGTATATATGTATATATGTATATATATATATATGTATATATGTATATATGTATATATGTATATATGTATATATGTATATGTATATATGTATATGTATATGTATATGTATATGTATATGTATATGTATATGTATATGTATATGTATATGTATATGTATGTATGTATATATGTATATATGTATATATGTATATGTATATGTATATCTATATCTATATGTATATGTATATGTATATGTATATGTATTACATGTATATATGTATATATGTATATATGTATATATATATGTATATGTATATATGTATATATGTATATATGTATATATGTATATATGTATATATGTATATATGTATATATGTATATATATATATATGTGTGTATATGTATATGTATATATATATATGTGTATATGTGTATATGTGTATATGTGTATATGTGTATATGTGTATATGTATATGTATATGTGTATGTATGTAAAGAAAACTGAGCACGACTGGTGGTTTGGCCCAGCGTCATCTCGGAGGTGCGGTTGAAGGGCGTTCCAATCAACAACGTGGACCGCTCCGTGGGCGGAATCCTCAGCTTTGAGGCCGGGCCCATCGGTCAACACCAGATATTGTGTTCACCTTGGGTATATCGGTACATATCGGTACATCCAAACATTTTGGAGCCCAAATCTGTAGATTTTTGTGTTTTCTTGTTTTCTTTTTTCTGTTTCCCTTACCAGTGACTAAAGATCAACCAAAGTTTGGGGTGTATAATCAAAGCATTTTCAGACCACAAGCGGTGCTTAGATTGCCCTGCAGGTCAGCAAGAAGTTCGGGGCAAAAGGATTGCCAGAGGCCCATTTGAATATGTGCATCTTGAACCTACAAGAAAAAAATGGTTATCTTGCACTGACAGCAGAGCTCTATTCGCCAGAATGTGTCAATGCATATTGTGTGTGTGTGTTTGCGCAATTCGGTCGGCGCAATTATTGCCTCAACTGGAACTGCTTGGTAAATTGTCATCAAGCCCATCTCAGAGTTGGTTGATCCCCAAAAGGCTTGTTGAGTCTTGGTGCGCAATATTTCCGTGATTGTGCATCACTGTTCCCCTGAAATGGTCTTACATATGGGATATGGGTGTAGCACAGCTGTTTGGCGTTTCACGATTCAGTGACTTTGGTTTCAGGGTTCCCTGCACATCAACTTCATTGGCAGCTCGGGTCAGTCCTTTGGAAATTTCTTGGCCCCAGGCTGGAAAAAGCGGTCGGTCAAGTTTCGAGGATTTTCGAAGATTATGGGCTTGTGAAAACTTCAGATCAAAAAGTACTCCTGCACAAGCCTTCCTGCTCCCGACTTGCCCCTCAAAAGAATAGTATGGAAATGACTCCTCATTCCACTGGCAGCCAAGCATGGGCAGGCATCACCTTCGAGCTGGAGGGCGATGCAAACGACTACATTGGAAAAGGTCTCAGCGGAGGAACCATTGTGGTGTACAAGCCCAAAGAGGTGCGGCTGGACATGGGAAATCTTTGGCTCGAAGAGGATTTAGAAATTTTTGAAGATTCTGAAGATCCGTATAATTGGACGATCTGCAGATTGCCAGTCATATTTTGATGAAGTGCCTGGCCTCTTGCAGTGATTTGACTATCAAATACCCGCATTGGATGAATGTCTGCATCATTCTGAGAGCATGAAGCGAGGCATCCTACAACTCTGAGAGTGCCATCATCGCTGGCAATGCCGCGTTATATGGTGCGACTGACGGCAAGGCTGCGTTGCAAGAAGAACAGCATAAGGGGTAGAGGAGACAGGAACCTGGATCCAGCTCATCTGGGGAAATGCTGGAGGTAGCTTCTGTAATTAGTTTTGAAAAGGGATCCCAAACTGCTGCAGGTTTCCTGCACTGTTGCAGGTGGCAAGAGCCCAAAATTGCTTACAATTCTTGCAATGCTCACTCTTCCTGTTTGGACCTGTTCCCCTTTTCAGTTCGGTTCAACCCAATACAGCTAATACAAGTCACAGTTCGAGCAGTGGATTCCCAGCAGCCGGATCCAGCTGGAGGCCTTCTTCGGCGGCATCGCAGCAGAGCGTTTCGCGGTGCGAAACTCTGGCGCGACAGCGGTCTGTGAGGGCGTTGGTGACCACGGCTGCGAGTACATGACACGAGGCGCGGTTGCGGCAGGTTGCGGGGCATTGCCATGCAGGAACGTGCCGCAGACTGGGTGCCGCAGAGAAGATAGCTGTTGCGTTGCAATTGTACGCCTTCAATTCTTTGAGCAGAATACCAAGAGACACAACAGCGTCCTCAGCCTGCAGAGTTTCGTTCTTTCAGATACAAGAGATGGGATTGTTAAACAACAAAATAAGGAGATGCCCAATCTTCCCACCTGGTTTAAACGGAGAGGCACACCCTACTGCCAGGCACTGTTATCGTCCTCGGCCAGATGGGACAGAACTTTGCCGCTGGCATGAGCGGCGGAGTGGCCTATGTGTTGGATTTGGAAGAGATGCTTGGTAGTGAAAAGTTCATCTCCACCACTGTACAGGGCTGCATTGAAAAGGAGGGAGCTATTGCAGAGTGGTTGCAGAAACGATTTCGGTGAAACGTCAAGGTCCTGTTGCGGATTTCCCAAGTGCATCTGAGGAAGCTTTGCAATGCCTCAGGGGTGCACCTTGAGAAGATTGAGGAAGAGGAGGACACCGTGGATGTTTGGAGATATCACCCCATGGATTTGTCATGTAATTTGTTTTTCCAAACTACTCTCACACTAAAAAGCAGAGTGTTTTGATCATGGATGGTCCGTGACCAGAATGCTGGTGAAATCCACAGGACGACCTTGCTGAAAAACCTGATCTCAGAGCATGCTCAGCTGACAGGCGCAATGGGTTTTCCAAAGGCCAGGTGCTTATGGATATGATTCTATATATATAATTATATATATATAATATAGGTACCCGATCGCATTACCACTCCCCGTACTGCACTTGACTAAATTTTTACGAATGAACATGATCATTGCTGACATTGTACGGACATACTCAAGAAAAGTCCGTCAGGCAATGCTCGATTCCATGTTAGGCATGAACATGTCGAGCAAAATACATTGTAAAACGCAGTACATGAAGTTTTCACGATTTGGACTTTAACATTGTTCGTCTCGGAACCACAATGTCTTTATCCTGGAGGCATATGCATATATATATATATATCCTATAAAGATCTCATCACCTAGACATCATGCATGATGTCGGCAAAATGACTATCCACAAAAATATAATAAACACAATCACAAGATAACATCCTGGAGAAGCAATTTCGCACGGTATTTACTGTGCTTTTAGCTTATGCACTGGATTGCGCGGGGTGGTAATACAATTGCGCGCCTATATGTATATATATATACATACATACACACTGTATATGTATAGATAGACAAAAATATGATACTTTCTTTATCATCATGTCATTCGAGACTTGTCAGACTCTGGCAAGATTGCAATGAAAGATTGTAGTGCCACATTGCGGAAGTATTCCGCTTTGAATCACTTCCGGCACTCCTTGGCAAGGCAGCAAGGTGGCTAACGATCTGCTTCAGAAGTGGAGCGATGCCTTGAAACGCTTCACCAAGGCTGGTGCTTCAGAACCGATGAAATAGTATAATACAATACAGTATATAGACATATACACAGTATATATATACATGATGTATGCACACACACATAGAGGTAGAATATAGATATACTATGTATGATATGTTGTATCTGCGTAGTTCGGGAGCAGACCCCGATGATGTGACACTTGTTGGAGCACGAACCACTTTAAATGATTTTGTTCCAGGTTTTCCCGAAGGAGTACAAAAAGGCCTTGCTCGCTCTCAAGGAGAAGGCCCGCCGGGTTGAGGGTTGATGCAGAGACATGGCCGCTGCCTGGTTACCTTGACCGTCTTGGACCGCCTTTCTCTGCCAGGAGAAGGCGGTCACGGAGGTTCCCAAGGTCGTCGAACCCGAAGCTCCCAAACCCCGTGCACGTACGGGAACGTTGGACATGGAGGATGTGGGTGGCAAGCCCGTTTCTGCGCCTTGGAGTGGCAACTATTTTTGGGAGAACTAGTCAATGTCATAGCAGAGAAGCTCAATAGCGTACTGAATGCCCAGCGACACAAGAGGTAGGTTCTTTGCCAATTCAAGTCCTGAAAGTCCTTTCACCTCTGTGCTCCACGTCAAACATTTGCATCCTAAACTTATTGGCTGTGACGAAGATTTTGGTGGCTTGGAAGGGGTCCCAGCCTTGATAGGCCATTTTGAGCTTCAGGTGCAAAACCCTGAGAAGAAGAAGGGCTTCCACGAATATGAACGCAAGGCTATGCCCTACCGAGATCACAAGGATCGAGTGTTGGACTGGGAGGAGGTCTATGCATCCCAAACCAAGAAGAGCCCCCAGGCTGCATTGGATGATGACAACTCAGGCAATCCCAGTACTGGGCAAAAGTCCGGACATTTGGTGGGTAAATACACTTTTTATGCTTATACATTATATAATTTATATATTATATCTTGTGATGGACGAGTTCTGTAGCTTGTTTTCTCTTGTATGTTCCTGGCTATCTCTACAAGGTACGTCCCCCAGATTTGGTGATGGATACTGCGGTGCGTCACTCCATGTCAAAGTTAGGTCACCCTCGATCACTGAGGACTGGACATGTAGTTTCTACACCATAGGCAGCGTCAGGGGAAAAGACATCCTGCTGCCCAGGTCAGCAGTGGCACAACTGGATGCAGACACAGACAGCACGATGCATGGATTGCGGCACACCTACCTGTCACCTGTCCTTGCGGAATTGGCTTTGGTTGTTTTAGTTGGGAAGGGGAACGTTGCACTCTTGCAACCCGGAACAAGATTCCTTGTATGAGATCATCATTTTGCTGCAAGTTTGCAGCATCATTGAAACGTGACTTGTCTAATTCTTCCTCGTATTTGCTCTTCAAATATACATTGCATACTCATGCAGAATACTCATTGAATAACTGTCATGATCACCGAGATGTGCTCGCAGTTCTGTACTGATCATATTCGCTTTGTTGGATTGATATTATTCCTGTCCTTCTTCAAAGTGCAAAGGAAGCTCCTACAGAGGTACTTTAGGCCAAATAGCCAGCATGACTCTGTGACGGCAATTTCTCTTGAATCAGTGTTGCATCAGAAGAAAACAGAGGATTATTTTTGCGGTACAGCCTTCAAGGTCACATCAAGGCTGTCAAGTCTCCAAGTTCTACCTCTGTTTTTCCACTGATTGAGAAAGTCCATTGGATTCATTGGATCGCTCAGGCCACAGTCCGAACCAGGGTGGTGGAGGCTGCCCCTTGGGCAACCGCATCCCCACCTGGAATCAGCTGGTGCATGAGGCGTGAGCTCGAGCTGGGGGGTCAATCATTTTGAGCCATACCCAGATGGGTGCTGATTGGCACGGGCATTGCTGACAGGATGCATTTCGGACAGATGCAGGACAAACGTGTTCATGCTGTGTTTCAGACTTGAAAGGATCCATGGTTACCTGGGAATTGCCAGGGCGAGTGGAAGAGGGCCTTGGAGCGATTGCTGGACACCAACAACTTCCCAGAGTTCACTGGAACGACCTGTCCTGCACCATGTGAGGAGGCATGTGTTTTGGGCATCAACGAGAAGCCGGTGGCCATCAAGTGGGGGAACCCAGACCCCGATCAACTGAGAGAGTCAAGAGATCCTGTGACCAATGTGACAGGGCATCCCACAGGCACTGAACTGAAGGCTCCTTGATCCGCACCCGCAACACCCAGGACCACTGAGCTTGCCATCATCGAGTACGGCTTCTCTAAGGCTCGGTAAAGACGAAAAGACTGGCTTGCCACAAGTCCATAGTCCGACGAATCGAGGATCATCACAGGACTTGTCCAGCATCCTTTATTTGTTTGTATCTTGCTTTGAGTTTGGTACGCTGACCTACTCTGAAGTTGCGGAAGCACCTGTTATGCGAAGCACAGGACAGACAATGCCAGGCTTCCCCGGCCCGCGTAGCAGTATGGAGTGTTGTTTGATATTTCTTGGGCTGGGCTGTACTCTCTCCTGGAGTGTTGTGAGGATTGGATGTTTTGGGTCCAGATTTCATCTCAGTGTTAGATTGAAATGGATACTGGTTACCACCATTGCCCACCTTTGCCGCTCTTGTCGCGCAGTAGCTTGAAATGGCACCGACTGACACGCGGAATCGATGCAAGCGTTGTTTGAGTGGATGTGCTTTGACATGTTTCGTGTTTTGAGAATGCAAACAAACAGGTCGGTCGTTCAACTTGGTAGCTTGAAACCGGTTTCTCAGAGTCTCAACCAAATTGTTTTTCAAAACACCAGGGATTCATCCTGTGCAATTTCCACAGGCGAAATTGGGCATCACAAATCATTGACACATCATTGATCCTTAATAGCCTTAATATATCTTAATAGTTTCTTAATATATCTTAATGATTGCCTTAATGATCACATTTTTTACACATGTTCTTTGACCTTGGAGCGGCGCAGGGATGGATCAAGCCACAGCCGCCGCTGAGCCGCACAGGGCGTCGCGTCTGTATCATCGGCAGTGGCCCAGCGGGCCTGGCTGCGGCGCAGCAGCTGAACCGTGCAGGGCATCTGGTGGAGGTGCTGGAGAGGCTGCGCTAGCTGCGCTATGATGTGATGACGTGCTAAGTCCACTGGTAAGTCTGGTAAGCCAAGTGAGTTCCGATCCGGAGAGCCACCCAAAAGTCGGATTCGAGTCGGTTTCGGGTTTCGGGTTTCGGGTTTCGGGTTTCGGGTTTCGGGTTTCGTCGATTGAAACCAACTTTCGCTGTCGGTTTCGGGTTTTGGGTTTCGTTGCTTGAAACCAACTTTCGCTGTCGGTTTCGGGGTTCGGGTTTCGGGTTTCGTTGCTTGAAACCAACTTTCGCTGTCGGTTTCGGGGTTCGGGTTTCGGGTTTCGCAGTTCGGAACCAACTTTAACAGTCGGTTTCGGGTTTCGGTTTTCGGGTTTCGATCGGCCCTGGGGAAGTTAAGTCTTCAGAGTCGGTTTCGGGTTTCGGGTTTCGGGTTTCGATCGGTCCTGGGGAAGGTAAGTCTTCAGAGTCGGTTTCGGGTTTCGGGTTTCGGGTTTCGGGTTTCGATCGGCCCTGGGGAAGTTAAGTCTTCAGAGTCGGTTTCGGGTTTCGGGTTTCGGGTTTCGGGTTTCGGGTTTCGTCGCTTGAAACCAACTTTCGCTGTCGGTTTCGGGTTTCGGGTTTCGGGTTTCGGGTTTCGGGTTTCGATCGGTCCTGGGGAAGGTAAGTCTTCAGAGTCGGTTTCGGGTTTCGGGTTTCGGGTTTCGCTGGTCGAAACCAACTCTGCAGACCTCTCTCCGGATCACGTCTCAGCCAAGTTGTCCACAGAATAATGGGGTGAAATCAGATTTAAAAAACATGTAAAATCTGAGATAATCAATCCAGGATGGGATGATTCAAGATGAGTGGTTTTGAGTGTAGGTTACGGTAGGTTAGAGGAGACTCCATTTATCCAGGGTTGACTATGAGCTCCGAACAGGGCGGATCGTGCTGGTGGTCTCTTGATGTATGGTATCCCATCCATGAAGCTGGACAAGATCGAGAAGGTCCTCCGTCGCATCAAGCTGCTTCAGCAGGCTCGCCCATTCCACCTACTGTAGAAGCTGTTGGTGGGCGCAGCTCAAGGCTTTGAAATGCCCCTGCCAGGAAGGTATCGTCTTCAAATGCAACACGGAAGTTGGTCGGGATGTCTCTCTTGGCAACTTGATTATCTTGATTTGGATGTTTTGCGCACAGATGGCACCTTTGGACATGTTGAAGAGAGACCATGGTAGTCGTGGTAGATGAAGACATTCGATGGCATTTATATAAGTGACCCAGCTCCCCCAATTCGGGCCACAATTCATACCAGAGACATGGATTTATGCGGTGCAATTGTTTTGATATTTTGTGCACAGCAAAAAGTGGCACTTGGCCAAACATGAGGTTGACTGCTGAGCACATCCCCGTGAATTTATCTTGGAGGTCTCCCTGTCAAGAAGAATTGAAGATGAAAGATGGGCCAGAATAGGAGACAAATGTGTTGCAAACATGGGGATTTATATGGGGATTTATGGATTTAATGGGACTTGATGGGATTTAATGGGCCTGTGGCAAGTCATGCTTCCTTGTGTTCAAGGTGACCTGTGCAATAAGAACGATGCGGTGATCATGGCCACCGGTGCTACGATGTGGCGCGACATGCGCAGCACTGAGAATCGACAGTTTGGCAACGTGGTCCAGGCACCTTGTGTTGGGAAACAGACATGATCGAAGGAAGTTTAGAAGTCAAACTTCCGACAATATGGACAGATGAAAAGCAGAGGTGGGAAGAGTCAGAGAAGAGGAGAAAAGAAGAAAGAAGATCAGGGAAGAGAAAGAGTCAGAAGACGGAAGATGCAGGTGCGCGAAAAGGTAGCAAAGTCGTGAAACACTGTGTTTTTCCAATGATTTGTGACTCTGGAGGGTCGAAAAGTAGGCTCGCAAAAGCGGCGGGTGCGGAGCCATCTGGCCAGATGAGAGATGAAAAATTGCACGCGGTTGTGGCGTGAAGAACGCCCCGAAGTCAAAATGTACAAAACGCACCAGGTCCGGACCACTTTTGCAAGTTGAGATGTCGAAAAAGTGCACGCCGTTGTGGCGCGAAGCACATTTCGAAGTCAGAAGTGCAAAAAACTGAGGGGGCACAGAGCACTTTTGGACGTTCAGATGTCGTTGTGCGTGGCAGGCGCAGGGGATTGCGCACCTTGTCAAAAGTGAGCAAAACGTGAGGGTTTTGTGGCAGTTTCAACTACAACCACTACATTCCACTACACTACACTGCATTACACTACATTTCACTACAACTACAGCTACAGTTACAACTACAACTTCACTGCATTACACTTCGCTACACTTTACTGATTACAGTACACTACAGTACACTACCCTACACTCAATTGCACTACACTACACTACCCTACACTGCACTACACTCCACTACACTACGCTCAACTACACTTCACTACACTACACTCCACAACGCTACACTACACTCCACTACACTACACTACACTCAAGTATATTACACTACACTACACGACACGACACTACACTAACTCCAGCTACAACCACAACCACAACTGCAACTGCAACTGCAACTACAACTACATTACACTACACCACACCACACCACACCACACCACACTACACCACACTGCACTGCACTGCACTGCACTGCACTGCACTGCATTACACTCCTTTACACTACACTACACTGCATTACAGCAACTACAGCTACTACAACTACGCTATTTTACACTGCACTACACTGGACTACACTACACTACACTACCCTAGATTACACTACCACCACAAATGCAACTGCCACTACACTACACTAACTACACTACACCACAACTACAACTCCACTATGCTACAATTGCAACTACAGCTGCGCTACACCACACTACATCCAGCAATTGTGGGTGAGGTGACCGAGCAGGTGACCACTGCAACCATTGCAACCACCCCAAAAAAACACAGCTCCAACCACCTTTCAGTCCATCAGTGGATTCGCTCTGTCCGGGACTCACAACAACCGACCTCTCCTATAGGTTTTCTATTTTTGAAACTTCTGCCGCCGCCTTGTGCGGTACTACTGGTATGAATCATATGAAGTCGTTTCTGATGAGCTGCTTTTTATGTTTCATGATGTTTAATGAATATTAATCGATCATTTTGATTTATATGATTTTGGTTCACTTTCACTTTAAGAAGGAATGGGAAGTCGGCATTGGAAAAGTCACTTTGGGAAATTCGGACAAATTTCATCGGGCCGCCTGGATGTGCTTGTTGAGCGAAACATCGCCTGCCAGGCCATGGAGTTCCTCACAGCTCCTTGGAAGCGAAGTTCAGCGAAGTTCAGCAAAATTCAGCACCCAAAACGTGTTTTTTTTTAAGCGCTCCCAATCTCATCCGGTTTCATCCTGGTTTCCTGACTTCCCAAGATAGCTACAAACTTTGGGGGTTCTTACTTCTAGGATCTGTCACCATCGCCCGAACTTTATGGGCAGTAGAATGTTGTCCAGCTTGTTTCCAAGTCTGTTTCCTGTTTTGTGGTCCGGCATGTGGCCTGAAGCGCATGTCTCTCAGCTTGTTTCCCATGGTTGTGTGGAGTGTACGAGAAAGGTGTGTACACAAACTGATAAACAAGAAGTTGCCGACTTCCTTTTGCATTCTTTTCTGGTGTTTAAAAAAGTGATCCATGGAGTCATGGAGATCCAATTTCCATATGGAGGATCCAGTAATATGAGCACTCTTTTTGAGTTGTCCACTCGCTCGGGCTGCTAGGGCTCGGTCCTCTCGGATCTGCAGAAATTTTACAGATCTCTGACTTGCCGTTCGAAGGCGACCCAGAGGAAGAACTTGGACACCGAGATGGGTCTGAAGAAAACGGACGTGACAAATTATGATGTCCAGGACAAGAGAGTGGCAACTTGGCGCTGCAGTTTACATGGCCCAAAGGACCAGGGTGCTAAAAGCATTGGACTGCCTTCAATTTGTTGGCACTCTTACATGAATTGTTTCAGAGCTCCATCGGAACTCCAAGAGCATGTGCTATCCTTGTCCTTTGTTTTGCAGTGGAACGAAGCTAGGCTCAGAAACCAGACTGTGGACTGCGCTGTATTCAGCCATGTTGAGGTTGTGATCGGTGGTGGGGACACAGCGGTCGACTGCGTTGGCACAGCCATCCGTGTCTTGATAAAATTGAGCGTTGAATTATAGGTGTGTGGGTTAAAGTGTAAAATCCAGCGAGCAAGCAAAATTGGGCCACATTATCTGGATCAGAACCATCAAATTTCTTGGGGTACAGTAGGCACTGACTTTAGCATACTTTAGCTATGAAAATAAATACCATAAATACCTATGAGACCATTAGCATGCGAGATTGAACATCCATCCGGCTATTGTTGTGCGAAAACCACAGTATCCTGGTTGTGACCAAGCCATAAAAGCCATATTTCCATCCCAGTTCTTTTTTCCTATCCCCATTCGACATCTAATCCCGAAAGCAAGGCTTGGGTGCCAAGAGCGTTCTGCAGTTCTCACGCCGTGATGAAGCTCCCACAGGCGCGACCGCACTGCAGTTGGCATGGCACAGGACTCACATAACAGGAACTACAATCCACTACAATGTAGTCTAATATGACTAAGGTGGTAGTATAAGCACGTTTCAATTCTATCTTCTGGTACATCTTGGCATGTCGAATGCACAAATTCTGCTGATGTATCCCCTCCGTACGAGGCAGATCGAAGCACACTCCATGGCCTTGCTGGGCGGACTGTGGGGTTTCGGGTGGAGGGCAGTGGCAGACCCGACTTTTTACATCTAGACTCTATCATCGTTGTAGTGGCCAAATGAAAGATATGAAAGCGAGATGTTGTACATTTTCCAATGCTATTGCAACATCAAAATGGTCATCAGATAGAAGAATTTAAAGGTTCTTTCTTACTTATATGAGTAACCGACAAAATTATTTTGGCCTTGTGGAGGGGTGCGCAAAACCTTCATTACCGATAGGGGACGACCCTATGTTGTGCATGAGTCGCCTCAAAGTCTGTGAAGGCAGAAATCCTCACTACCGATGATAGGGGACGACCCTAATTTGCGCATGGCACCAAATGAACAAGTATATATATATAATATATATATAATATATAATATATATATATATAATATATATATAGTTTCGTCCGCCATTCATATAATGGGAGCAGGCAATCTGGAAGACTTTGTGACACCTTCTCTTCCAGAGTCTTTCACTCATTTGCTCGCCAATAGACTCTTGCTTAAATCTCAATTCAAAAGTGGCATTTTGCCTTTTTGTCAAGTCCACTCCTACTCCAAGCAAATCTGCGAAGTCTGGGATTACACATTGCAGAAAGATCCAGTTGTATTATTGTGCTGTCTGCACAGACAAGTATACAAATCTTGATGATTTTGAAAGCTCCAACGTAGACGCAGACACGGCCCCTTTTCTGCTCGTGGCCAGGACACCTACCGTGTGGACTACGCGCACTCCGAAGGGCAGGCAGCCCTGGGACGTGACCCGCGTGAGTATTTGGTGCAGACGAAGAGCTTCCGGGCCAGCGCCAAGGACAGCAGTGGACATGGACAGCGGGAAGTTTCTGCCATCATTTTCATTTTGGCAGATCTTGACATTCTGCAGATTCCTAGACTCAAAATTTGACATTTTGCTTTGCAGTTGAAAGCCTTGGCTGCTCCAGGACCCATCGAAGGTTGGTGCTGTCGTGGCAGCCAAGCTGACTCCTGCTGGCAAGGACGTCAGTGGGGACCCTTTTGGTTAGACAGTTGTCCTTGGGTGGCAGGTTGGGATGTGCGACTTCTCCAGACTCCAGTTGTTTGAAACGAAGTATGACAGTTGTTATAGTTGTGAGGTACTTTTGAACTTGTTCAGCCCGTGGGGGTGCTGTGGAGCGACACGCTCCCATATTTAAATGAGACTTTTACTAGCTACTAGCATCAAATCAAGAGTTTCTTTCAATTTTGTTCGACAACTTCTGCTGCATCTGCACTGAAAACTCGATAGATTTCCACCAGAAACTTGGAAGGAGATGGGCACAGTGGACTACCCCGCAGAGTTGGTGATTTTGGCCATGGGCTTCACTGGTCCTGACAAGGCTGCGAGATGCAATGTGTGATGCTGGCGACATCAGAAAAGTGAGAATTAGAGATTCCCTACCCATGAATTGTCAAATGCGCACAATCCGTTACTGCATGTTCGGTCACAATAGCTGGCTTCCAAGGTTATCGATCCTCAGAACCAGCTGTCACGCGACCAGCATTCCAACTTCAAGGTGTGGCTCTTGCAGTGCTCTTGTCGCAAACATATTGCAATGTGGGCCCTGTCACAAAGATTTCTGGGATGCAACTTCCAACTTTGCATCAAAGATCATCAAAGATCATCAAGCATCATTTGCTGTTCCACCAGCTCATGGCATTCCCAGCACAGGCTGCATATGGAGAGTACCAAGCTGAAAGCGCGCCGTGGAGTAACCTCTACGCGTGTGGCGACTGCCGCCGTGGTGCCTCCCTGGTGGTGACTGCCATCGCCGAGGGCCGTGACTGTGCGTCCCGTGTGGATGCCATGCTGATGGGCACCACCACTTTGCCCCGTGCTGCTCCGCTGGCTGCCAACCCAACCTTCTACCAGATGCCACAGAAGGTGAGCAATACGCAAGCGTGAAATCTTGTGAATATGATCAGGAATATGGTGAGGAAAACGGAATACGGAATACGAAGTCAGGTAAGGAAAAGGATGAAAGAGGTTTGACTGCGGACCAACTACGGGTTCCCGAAATAACTTGACCTTTCATGTTTCAATATCTCCACAACCGATGACACACACTGTGCAGGGCATGGAGCAAGCTGGTTTGGTCAAGAGACATCTGCGAAAGTGCCTTGGACTCTAGTGATCTTTGAAGTTTGTCAAGTTGGTTGAAGTCAGCTGTTACAGTAGATATCAAAGGACTGTCTTTGTCGATCCAGATTCGATGGAAAACGACGAACCTCACTGCCAATGGTCTCTCTTGACATCTTAAAGTCACGGGTGTCACAACGGTGTCACACCACAAAGTCTTTAGCTTTTGCCGAAGCCTCTACAACCGGGAAGAATTCTGAGTATTGGCTGAGACTTCACCCAGTGCAGGAGTGTGCAGGAGCTGGCTTGTTGACTCTTGTTGACTCTTGTCGACTCTTGTTGACGTTCCTGCCAACACTCTCTTTGCTATCAATCATTATCAATCATTATCAATCATTATCAATCATTATCAATCATTATCAATCACTATCATCAAAAATGTGTGGGCTGATAGTTTGTTGATGAATTACATTTCTTTCCCAAGTGGTGGATGCATGGGTGCCTATCCATCAGCTAAGTTTTTAGGCTATGAGCACCAGGTTCCCAAAATGAATAGAGGCAATCCCGTGTCCAAGACAGCAACAAGTTGCCAGAAGACCAGCTTTTGGACCTTTTGGTAGCTTGGCTAACTTGGCTGACCCTCAGCACCAAATGTCGCCAAGGCATCATCAGGTGACACAGGTGTCAGATGCCTTCGAGAGAGGTCTGCTAGTGGAAAATGTAAAGGAGCCTGAGGCTGAAGGAAATTTGGAGGCCGCACGGAAGGGTCGATCTTAGGGGAGAGAGAGTCACTCAGCGGCTTGCCAAGACTGGGAGAAATATTACTTGACCAACTGCATCCAAACATACAACCAATTTTGTTGCAAAATTGCTAAGTTTTCCGCCCAAACAGATCCCTTGCAACTTTAAAATTGAATTTCTAAAGATCAATAAAACTTAGAAGAGACATCCAACCCCTGTAATTCACCACGTTATAAAACACATGACGAACTATAACTATGAAGTCGTCAGCACGCCAAGAGGCCGAGCCAGAACCTCCGGTGGTGGCCAAGACCGAAACTCCTGCACCAGTTGCCGCGCCACCTGCTGCCGATCCGCAAATCGCGGCAATGCAGTCGCAGGTGTCGGCCGGGTGCTGGGTCCCCCTAGGTCCCCCTAGGTCCCCCTAGGTCCCCCTAGGTCCCCCTAGGTCCCCCTAGGTCCCCCTAGGTCCCCCTAGGTCGTTTTCTCTGGATCTCCCCGTGGGTCCGCGCAAGTCCCCGTGGTGGTCATGTGTCCCCGTGGGTCCCCGTGGGTTCCCCTAATCCCCCCGCGGTCCGCCTGGATCTTCAGGGAGAAGTTCCATATGACACGATCCCAAAGATGGTGAGAAAAGAGGCTTAGGGATCAAATTCACAAAGCAGCTGCCAGGTCACCATGATGTCCCTCTGCATTGGAGGCCTTTGCCTCCTGTTCCTCGCTGAAAAGTCACGAGCGACAGTGGCGAAAGGTTATTTAGAAATATTTAGAATACTTCAACAGGAAATTCATACTTGAGCCCATAGTTAGCCGTGGTTGTACAGGTATTAGTCATTTTTTCTCTGGAGCATCAGTTTCCGTTTCTATAGTTTTCTCTTTTCTGTAGTTTGCCATGTCTCTTTCACTCTATGTATTGATGGAAACTCCCGATTGGATTTTGTGGCCCAGGAATGCTGGCTTGGTCATTGCCTTGGTTCGCTCCAAGAAGTAGATCCTTGGTCCCATCGAGGCGGGGGTTGGGCCAGCGCTGCCGGCGCTGCCAATTTGTTTTGAGCCTTTCAGAGATTTTTTCCTGGACGATTGGTCTATCATCTAAAAGTTATGGGGAGACTGTTGATGGGATGTTGATCCAGAGTGATTTCCGCTACCCAGAGGTGTCAGCCACCCGCAGTGAGCTGGCTCACTTTGGCGATGTGTGCAAAGTCAGTCAATTTTCTCGCCTAATCTTCCGGCAGCATACAGCCAATGCTGCCTTTGACGTTCTTTAACAGAGGAACGAAGAACAACTTGTTTGATTTTGATGAACGACTCGAAAGCTCAATGGCCAATTTAAGGATTCAATGCAGCAGTCAAGTTCTTTTTGTGTTTAATTACTTAGAAGAACCCGTCCCACCACAGAGAATAGACTTAATAGACCTTCAACTGGTTGTTGGAATCAAAGAAGCTGGTGCTCGTCATTATATTTTGATACCATTGATACCATTGATACCAGCAATTATTTGAGGTGAAAGTGTCAATCACTGGAGCCAGTGACCATTGTACAAGTACAGACATTGTGTTGGCCAGCAGTACATGATGATTCCAGTAGATTTCACATTGTGCATGGCATTTCCAGGTGTCTTGGATCAGTAGCAGCAAGAACATATGTCACATTCCAACTTCTGACGGCACTTTCGGACACCCATTCCACCTTCAACCATTCACTCCGCTTTCGGAGTTTGGAACTTGATCTGGTAGAGTAGGGAGAAGAAGTCCGGGATTGATCCGATCATGGTTCCAGCCTCCATGCAAAAAAATGCCAACTTTCTCACTGCAAATTGTTGTGTCATTTGGTTGTAACTTGCGTCGTGCGTGATACTTGGCACCTGCAACATCATCAACATCTCTTCGCTTGAACTCCCAGCAAACATGTATCAAATACCAAGCTGATTGCCAGTGCTTTCGGGTTGCATTGGTTCGCATGATCCATGAAGCAGACAGTGCTGCGCAAGCTACTGACCTGGTAGTCTTGGCGACAGCTCTTTGGGAGCTGCTGTGCATCAGACTCAACCTTGTGACCTTGTAACAAAAGAGTAGAATATTTTCACACATGATGCTGCCTTTCTTTCTCTCAGCTCCCACGCTCCCGCGCTCCCGCGTTTCGGCGCTCCCGCACACACTTGTGGTGCAAGGCATTTTTTCCAATTTCAGCTGCCCCAGTGCACTCTCAAGCTCACGCTAGACCAACTCGAAGGAATATGAAAGAATAGATTCTGACTCCACCTGGCCTAGGCACTCAAGATGTTTTTGCTCTATGCAGTCTATGCACCTTTGTAATTGCACAATGAATCATACTGACATAACGGCAGTAGAGCAGGAGTGTTTTTTCTTAAACGATCTGCATGTGCACTGGGGTGCGAAGCATTTTCGCAGGGAGACTGACGAAGCGGTCCCGCCTCCGAGAACGCTTCAGCTGGAAATAGACATAGGTCAGGTCTGTCCCCTTGGCTGGCTCGACATTAGCTGGAAGGTGCAGCTCAGCATAGCCTACTCAGGAAGTTGACACGGTTCAGATTCTTATATAATATTAATATATATATATGTATATATATATATAAAGATTCTTGAGTATATAAAGAAGTACTTTTTGTAACTCTTGGAAGGTGAAACCTCATACAAGTGAGAAGTCTGCTTTTCTGACCCTGACGGGCCATCATCAAAAAGTGTACGCATCAACATCGATCTAGCATAGGCAGCGTTCGGCAATTGGATACCATAATTGAATCTCAAAGTTTGATTGATCATAATCAACAGGAGAGCAGAATCTCGCCATGCATCTACACTTTTCATCCATTTTGCTGGTGTTTGAAACACGCTGGAATTTCCTTTTGATAGGCAAGGTCATGAAGATTGGAACTGCGGCAATCTCCAGGGTTTTCTGACTAAGAGCATCCATCAGCTATTACGACAGGGTCAGTATGTCAACATGCGCGTATGTGAATGCATGCACTATCATTAATCATTGATGAACAGGGGCTTATGGCAAGCGAGGTCACTTCCGTTGTCATTGGTTACCGCAGTTGGAACACGGTAGAACACGGTGTAAGCATATTCTATTTCTACATCATTTGAGAGCCAGATGAGAGGGCTAAAAGGCCTGCTTGATTTTATAATATCACAGATAAGGTGTCGCCATGTGAGAAAAGTGCGACAAATGCCGTGGTTTTTGAGGTGGCACAAGAATCTGCCAATGGGGTTTGAAACGCTGATGCATTGATTCGTCTCAGAGGTTTCTATGCGTGTTCTGCCATTGAGGCTCTGTAAAGGAGCATGTTTCACAGTGTTTGCAATCCGATTTAACCAAATCACAGCAGCTTCATGACATCACTTCAATCGCGTCAAGCATTGATACTCTATGCAGAAGTTGGAAGATCCTCCAGTCTTGGCAAAATCATTGCACTGCTTCACTGCCTTGTATTGCATCAGACCTTTGGACAATTTTCAATTAGAATCATGTTGGAAGCAAGCTGCTCGGCAGTGAAGTCTGGGCTATGCGGATCAACCTGGGTTCTGTCGACAAGCTTATCCCCACATGATGCTTGGGGATGGGTATGGTGCCAGAAATTTGCATCTTTACAGATCTTTACTATATTTGTGTGTAGTTATGTGCAGGCACAATTTTATCCTTAAGGGTACATCCCCGCATAGCTAAGTCATGCGGGAGAATTTCAGTACTCTATGCTTGTTGAAATGGGGTTGCATGAATTGCATACGGATGTATAATATAATGTAAGTTCTTGGCCAAGTGCCGTGATCGGCTTCCACTATAGAGATGTTGTTGGTTGCGCTCACAGGTTATGCATGACATCCACGGAGAGTAGACCTGATCCCTTTGTCTCCTTCTAGATGCCTTTAAATATTTTCGATTACAGGAATACGTACAAAGTACAAACTATTCAACAAACATGCGAAGACATAGGTAATTAGTGTAAATACACACACACACATATATATATATAAATAAATATACCTAGAACTTCCTGTTTCCATATTTTCTGCCTGGGCAGAAGTCTCTACCTTTGCATTTTGCCCGAGGTTTTTTTTCCCCCGCCTGAAGGGGTTTTGGCCCAGGTTGCTTGATAAATATTTTTTCAACAAGATTTCAAATTGCAACACGTGTTTATGTTGCTAAAGAGTGCTAATATTGCCTAGATTCAAGATTCCGCCCTCAGGCTGGTTTTTTGCCCGAACCATTGTTCAGGCTGATAAAACAGCTGAGGCTGAAATTGTGGCCGGAATGAAGATCTGAATCTAGGTACATACATACGTATATATATATACATACGTATGTATATGTATATATATATCATATATATATATATATATACATACATGATATATATCATATATATATGATATATATCATATATATATATATGATATACATGATATATACATACATACATACATACATGCATACATACATACATACATACATACATACATACATGATACACATATACATCTATATATATATATGATATACATATATGATTCACATATATATATGATATATATATATGATATACACATTTTATCCGCATCTCATATTCTAATCGTTTTTTCCCAGGCAGTTGAGGGATCCGTTGTGCGAGCTCTGAGGTGCCACTTCAGCTTCTGGCAGCACCTTTGGCTACCGCCCGGGTACCGAGAAAGTTCCATTGAGCTGAGGCAATGAAACAAATTGACATTCGCAACTTAAACAAAATTTTATGAAGCTGAGAAGATCTGAGAAGATCGGAGAAGTTTTCAAAAGTTTCATGGTTGAAAACAAATGCAACATAGTGCAAAACTTTCACCTTAACCTCATCGAAACTATACTAAGTGCATAGACACATCTTGGAAAGAGCTGGAAATGACAAACACAGGAAATTCAACAAACCTGGCGGACCTTTTTGCCGTTTTCTTTTGGTGGGTGTTCTACTACAGCACGACAAGCTCGGTGCACAAAACGTGGGTGATTTCAACATGCTCAGTTACCAGAAACCAATGTAACTAATGTGTAACTAAGGATGTAACTAAGTTGATACCAGAAGGCCATTCAAGCAACACCAAAACACATCTGAGGAGGGAGACGGAGAAAGACTTCAACATCTTCAATGTTTTCTAACCTAAACCTGGTTTTCTAACCTAAACTCCAGGTTGTGGAAATTTATCTGTCAGAATAATATAAAATGGCAGGGTACGTAATAGTGAGTTTTGACACGCTCGCACACAGAGGTACTTGCCTTTATATGCAAGCTGTCTTCAAACCACCGTTTATTTTGCTACTATTTTGACAATATACTATATTGTATAACAATCAAATAATTTAACTACCTCTCTCTGCTGTTCTCCTGATAGGCCTGAATCATTGTGAATCATGCTGAATGCAAGCAAAGCCGTGAGCAAA